CATGCCGGCCCTACTCTGCGAGGCAACAGACTCCGACGAAAGCGTCGACTACAGCGACCCATGGGCCAAGACGAACGCAGCTTCAGACACGCGCGAGTTCGACCTGACGTCACTCAAACCAAGCCAATACCACCACATGCGCTGCCCAAGTGGATTGGCAGCATGCTGCTACCGCGCCAACGACGCCGACGCCGACGCCGGCGGCTGCGACGACGACATATGGCGCTACGCAGCCTACTACCACGAGCAGTCCAACACCTAGTCATACAGGTTTCCCAACGGCGATCAACTCCTACCTGGGTGGCACAGATGCCAGAAAAATTATCATAATATGACGTTCGCACATCAGGACGGCGCCCAGCACCTACCACATCCGCCTCTACGACCAGACCCACGAGCAACACCACTATCGACGTTCACTCCACCACTGGCAACCGCCACCAAGTGGATCGAATTCCAAAACGCAGCACGCACGGGCGCGCACCTACCCATGGCAAAGCCGCCCAAGCATCTGTCGTTCATTCGTCACGGCAACAACCCACATGCATTCGCGGCCCATTGCCGCAACAACGCAACAGTCCGACTTCAACGTGTAGCGACGATCCAACACTTTCAAGCGCTCGTGACAGGAGGACACGCGCCAGGCAGGATTGCGGCAATGCAAGAAGTAGCGCAATGGCTCAATACCTGTCAGAGCGACGACAACCACATGAAGCGCGACTGGGCGGCAAACATTCGGGACGCCGCAACCAATCCAACAGATGTACAACCCGACCATCGCAACGAACGCCAGCATACCCACGGCACCTAACCGACAGCGACAGCGCTAGCGAGGAGCACGCGCAAACGGCAGGCAGCCGGCACGGCGGACCACCGCCACCCACAGTGCCCCCACAAAACAAACAAACCCCACTGCCCAAGAAACGAGCACCCACATTGCCACCACAATGGAACGTGCCCGCAGCTCAGACGAAGAGGAGCTTACCGAGACCAGCGGTGCCAGCCACGCCCCCAACGACCAAGCCACCACTTGTCAAAAACACACCACCATTCCCCACCACTCGCTACACCACGCCACAAGCAACCACACCTGTGCCACAACAGGATGTCAACCTCAACCCTGCGTCAACACACCAGCCTGACCAAACCGCTGCCCCCACGTCGCCGACCCCGATCAAAAACGTCTTACCCGCGAAGAAACCACCACTTCTTCCCACGTGCGCAACCAACAGACAACCTGATATACCAAAGACCACTTACATCGCCAAAGACGCGCCAACTCCAATCACACCACGGACCCCGCACACCGAAGCGATCACCAATTGGTTCCATGCCGCGAGATTACCATGCCAGCGCGCCCGCCGCCACCCATGCCCAGATGCAAATCATCTGCCCACCACCCGAAGAAATCGTGACACTGCGCTCGATACAGGAGGCAGCGCAAGACACCATGGCGCCCCAAACCTACGCTACACTACAAGCCTACTTCTCAACCCACGCAGCCCAGGTGATCGCAACACACAGCGCTGCAGCGAGACGAGGCGACCAGCGCCTCCTCATCCACAATCGCCGCATCATTCTCGCACGCAACACAGGAGACCCAACCTTCTACACGGTACGAACACTTTTTCGACGACCTCCGCAACACTTACCTTCCAGAGGTACCCTACAAAGAGCCACCACCCATGCCGATGGTGCGACTCCTACAAGGCACCACCCAAGCCCAAGCCGATGGACGACGAAGGCACCGGCCGCGGAGCAGACTAAATACAGACCGACCACAGCAGAGTGCCACGACATTCGCCACAAGTACCTGCAGTACGTCAACTACTTTTTTTGTGCGTTACCCTGACCAGACTTTTGAACGCGCGCATCATGGCCGACACTCCTACCATTCTCTCCTTTTCAGACGATGACTTCACTGATGCCTGGTGGCTCCTTTCTGGCACGCATGGTGGCTCCTTTCTCCCAGCAATCCAGTCGGTTTGGGGTTAACCGCAACAACCCTGGGTCGCAGCTCAAGAATTGATGGTCCACATTTGGGGCCCCCTGTCATACAGGATGTCCTCCTTCTTTTTCACCGATCAAGCCGTGCCTAGTTACCTTTGGGGTCCAGTTCGCGGCCCCACTTGTCTCGGATACCTGCACGGCGGACTCCCCCCTCTAGTTTACTTTTGGGGCCCCCGATTCAGGGCTTGGCCCCATTGTTAGCAGATGCGCAGCCGCGACACTTCAACGACAGTATGTCAAGCCTACGCAGCACACCATACCTTTTTCTACTGACGACCCACATAGGGTAGCCCCACCCCTGCTGTCGTCTCGTCTTCCACTTCCTTCTCCTAACCTGCCCCTGTTTGAACAGGCCGAATGACCTACCAAGCTACTTAGGTTGGACACCCCCCTAGGGGCCGCATCCTTGCGACTGCTGCGGACTGCCGACATCCTGAGCACCCCGTGGATGTTCAGGGTTTCGGTATTCTTCTCTTTACGTTGCCCGCAGCCTCTACTCCGTCATTTCTTTCCCGTCTTTGCTGCTTGCTTTACCCGGCCTCGTTCTGTGATGAGAATCTACTGTTCGAACTCTCCCCCCCGCCCCTTTTCATTGGCGATGCCGGCCTTGGATTTGCAACCAGCTTGTTTGTCTGTCTCTCACGTAGACAGAAGAAAAACAACACAGCCAAGAGCCCACCGGCCAGTCTGCACAGCGGTGTTTTGATTTTTGCCACACGGTAGCAACCCAAGTACTGCAGTATACCCCTGCCCGAGCCTCACCCTCAAAGCTTACGGGCCAGTCTGCGCAGGCCAGCCTACAGCATTCACATTTGCCGCCTTTATCTGCACGTTCAATCTCAGTATACGTCCTTTTGCCTGCTACTCAATAGCAGCACTTATGTACGACTCTTTTTTGCCTGTTACCGCGCTGCAGCACCCAGCGAACTTGAACTGGAGTTGCATGGAGGGTGGGTTACATGGCGGATGGGAGGGATGGACTTGCTGACGAGCCTAAGACTTGCACGCTTCTGCTCAGAGGGGGAGCAAAGCCACGCTGGTGGCAGCAGTGACGTGGGACCCCTCGTAGGAACTGAAACGGTGAAGGGCCCCCCCCGAGAAACCGAACATACGGGTAGCAACCCAAGGTGTTTTCTTGTGGTTTGTACCCTGCTTTTGTACGCCCCAGGCCAGCCCACTCAAACCTTCCCACTTCACCCTGTGCCTGCTACATAGCAGCCCATATTTTACTTTTTGCCCAGTGCCGCCAAGAACTGCACACTATCTTTGCCTGCTCCACAGCAGCATGCTTTCATGCTTAAGGATTCGATGCTCCACTATGGGATGGTTCGAGCAGGTCTTGCTATGATGTATGGAGGCCAGGACGGATATATCTACAGTGTGGGGTCAACCAAAAACTTTGGCAGAAATCCTAGGACTGCAACATCCAGTTCGCTTCTAGCTTCTGCGTCGTCGTCCAGCATTTTTGTTTTTGTCCTGCACCTTGCCTTCCGAGGCGACACAACCATTCAAAAAGGGGCATAGCTACTAATGAATATGATTGGGGAGCAATCGCGCTAAGCTTAGTGCCGACCTCTAGTACCCGGCAGGCGCTTACTCTTTTTACTATTCTCGCCTCGACTTTCTTTTATTTCATTCCCCGCGGCGCCCGCCAGGTACATCTTGCGCCAGGTCGTGCGTTCTTCGTGATTCTTAACATTGGCTCAAGAACGCTACAGGCTAGAACCTCAAATCGGGCTGATTAAAAGGATGATGATGGTGATGATGATGATGATGATGATGCTAATGCTGATGCTGATGCTGATGCTGATGCTGATGCTGCTGATGCTGATGCTGATGATGATGATGATGATGATGATGATGATGATGATGATGCTGCTGCTCTGCTGCTGCTGCTGAATGGATGATGATGATGATGATGATGATGATGATGATGATGATGATGATGATGATGATGATGATGATGATGATGATGATGATGATGATGATGATGATGATGATGATGATGATGATGATGATGATGATGAGATGATGATGATGATGATGATGATGAGATGATGATGATGATGATGAGGAGGAGGAGGAGGAGGAGAGGAGAGGAGGAGGAGAGGAGGAGGAGGAGGAGGAGGGAGGAGGAGGAGGAGGAGAGGAGGAGAGGGAGGACGAGGAGGAGGAGGAGGAAGACGAGGAGGAGGAGAGGAGACGAGGAGGACGAGGAGGACGAGAGGAGGAGGCAGCAGCAGGAGGAGGAGGAGGAACGAGGAGGACGCGGAGGAGGAGGAGGAGGAGGAGGAGGGAGGAGAGGAGCGCGGAGGAGGAGGAGGAGAGGAGGAGGAGGAGGAGGAGGAGGGAGGAGAGGAGGAGGAGGAGGAGGGAGGAGGAGGAGGAGGAGGAGAGGAGGAGGAGGAGGAGGAGGAAGAAGAAGAAGAAGAAGAAGAAGAAGAATAAGAAGAAGAAGAAGAAGAAGCAGAAGAAGCAGAAGAAGAATAAGAAGAATAAGAATAATAATAATAATAATAATAATAATAAGAAGAAGAAGAAGAAGAAGAAGAAGAAGAAGAAGAATACGAAGAAGAAGAATAATAAGAAGAATAATAATAAGAATAATAATAATAAGAAGAAGAATACGAAGAAGAAGAATAATAATAAGAAGAATAATAATAATAAGAAGAAGAATAAGAAGAAGAAGAAGACGAAGAAGAAGAATAAGAAGAATAAGAATAATAATAATAATAAGAAGAAGAAGAATAATAAGAATAGTAATAATAATAAGAAGAAGAAGAAGAAGAAGAAGAAGAAAAAAAATAATAAGAAGAAAAAGAATAATAAGAAGAATAATACTAAGAATAAGAAGAATAATAAGAAGAAGAATACGAAGAAGAAGAAGAAGAAGAAGAAGAAGAATAAGAAGAAGAAGAGGAGGAGGAGGAGGAGGAGGAGGAGGAGGAGGAGGAGGAACTCGGATCGAGGGGGGGGCAGAGAGTTGCGAGGCCCTGGACCTGCAGCTGGACCTGGTGCGCGGCGCCCTCGACTTGCGCCCGGCTTCCGCGTCTGTGGACCTCAAGGTGGGTCGAGCCTTCTCCCCCCTCAGCGAAAGGCCAATGCCCTCCACCGCGTTCCTCCCTCCCTCCTACCTCCTCTCCCCTCCTACTTGCTCCCCCTCCTCCTCCTTAGCTCCTCTCTCCTCCCCTGTCCTCCTCCATCCTCTTTCTGCTCCCTCCGACCTCCTCCGCCCTCCTCTTTTCCTCCGTCTCTCCCTCCCCCCCTAGCGTTATCCTCCTCTCTCGTTTTTTTGTTTCTTCTTCTTCTTCTTCTTCTTCTTCTCTCTCTCTCTCTCTCTTTCTTTCTTATCTTCTCTCTCTCTCTCTCTCCTTCTCGCTTTTTGTTTCTCTTCTTGTTTTGTCTCTCTTTCTCTTTATCTCTCTCTCTCTATATATATATATGTGTCTCCCTCTTCCTCCCTCCCTCCCTCCTCATCCTCCTCCCTCCTCATCCTCCTTTCCTCTTCTCCTCCTCTGCCCCATCCCTCCTCCCTCGATCCTTTATTCTCTTCCTCCTTCTCCTTTCATCCTGGGAGGAAAACACGAAAGCCGTTGGGGCTGCAATTGCGCTCAGGTGCATGAAGGGTGTCAACGATCCACGGAAGGACCTGAGGAACATTGATTCCCACTCGAGGCAAAAAGAAAACCTGATCAACAAGTTTCGAATGTATCCTCCCTACCACGGAGGCTTCCGAGAGAGTGGTAGAGTGCTCCAGAGACCTCTGGATGCCTCCAGGCCCTCCAGACGCTCTATGTGAGACTTCAGGATGCCTGCGAGGAGACTCGTGCGCAGCTGCTGCCTCGTCCCCCTCTCTCTTCGACTGAGCATGTGGCAATACGCTTGACATGTGCGATCGTCAGTGCTGCCTCTTCGACATGCACAGCGCTGCAACATACAAGGAGGCAGCAACAATAAGACAGCGGGGTTAATGGAAAGGCGCATGGTGCTGAAGGGCGGCCAGGTGTTCCCGCGGATAGGGCGGAGGTATCTTTACACGTTATTTGTGTTGTGCCCGTTGGCCATACCAGTCCTGGTCCCAGGAGCGGTGCAGACGCCTCCCTGGCCAAGCCGGGGGTTGCGTGTGCACCGCCCCCCGTCGCCCGACTCCTCCTGCGCTGCCTACGTGAGCGACGCCAGAAAACGGGGGTTGTCTTCGCCGACGTTGGCGCTTGAGCTTCCGCGAAAGGTTGCGCGTGAGCGCTCTCGTTGCCAGTGTGGCGTGCCGCGCTGGCGGCCCGCGCAAGCCGTGGCGTATGGTCGCTGTGTCTTCTCGCGTAAGACCCCTTCCTTTTCGTCGCCCAGGTGGCGGAGGGGGCGATCCGTAACTTCAGCGCCGCAATCGGCGACCTCCGATCCGACCTGGTCTTCGCCACCGCAGCGGCAAGCGGCGGATGGCCTCCAGCCTCGGGTGTTGCCAGAAGTGCCCCTGGCCCAAGGTGTCCCCAGGATTCGAATGAGGCCCCCAACACGGACGACGACACCGGCACGCAAACTCACCTCCTCCAGCTCCAAACCCTTCCATCCAGACTCCGACTCATGCTCACAACGCGTCTCCTGAGATCCCTGGCCCTCCCCCCTGACCCCCTCCCGCGCCGCTTTCGTAGGGCCTATCCCGCCTGACCGACACCGCGCGCTCTCCTCGCCTCGCCTCGCCTCGCCCACGGCCTCCAGAGCAAACCTCACCAGGCCCAGAGGGCCCCAAGGGCTCCCAAATGGAGGGAAAAGCTGGGGGCACTTGGGGCCAGGGGCACCTTGAGCAACCCCCGACCAGCGGTGACCACTGTGGAGGCTCCCGCGGGCGCGGCCTTCCCGAGCCCCACTGCCGTGGCTGCGTCCATCGTCGGCGGCATCGGCGAGTCTGAGAGGCCCAAGCGCCTCTGCACTGGGTCGAATGCATCTCGAAGAAGAAGAAACTTTATCAACATAAACTTTCGGAGCTCCGCCTGGATTTCTTGAATCGTCGCTGGGACCCCCTGGCGGCGACTCCGGCGCCGCCCCTGGCGCGCGGAGCGCGCCTGGGAGGGGGTTCAGCGCAGATCCAACAACTCTGCGCGGACCTGCAAAATATTATGTGAATGTAATTTCCTCTTCCTAGCATCTGCGATCGCGAGGGCTGTGTGTGGGAGACCCATCGACGAGTGCGAGTGCACCAACGATGCAGACGTCGGCCTGCGCGGGTCCGACCCCAGGTCGATCATCTCTGGGGTGTCGGGTTCCATCGACGACGCGTGCCGCCTGGCGATGTCGTTCGACGCGGGGCGCGTGGCGCTGTCTCCAGCGACGACCATCGACACCACCTACCTGACGCGGAGGGGCACCTCGGCGAGTCTTGGGCAGGCCTCAAATAAAAACTAACGACATACGCTATTATGCTTAGCCAGCATGGACCCCAAGCAGTGTGTTTATAGCCGTCTATGTTGTGCCATCTGTGTTGGGCAATCTCTGTTGTCTAATCTATGTGGTGCAATCTATGTGGTGCAATCTATGCGGTGCAGTCGATGAGGTGCACTCAATATTGCAATATTTGCGATGCAATCTATGTTGTTAGATCTATGTTGTGCAATGCATGTGGTGCAATATATGCTGTGCACTCGATGTGGTGCAATATATGTTGTGCAATCAATGTGGTGCGATCTATGCGGTGCAATCGAGGTTGTGCAATCTGTGTGCAATCAAGGCGGTTCAGTCTATGTGGTGCAATCTATGAGGTGCAATCCATGTTGTGCAATTTAGGGTCGGGCGGTAGCGACGGCAGCGACAGCGCCAGACAGGCCCAGACGACGGGCGGCGACGGTCCGGCGACGGGGCGGCGACGGGGCGGCGACGGGGCGGCGACGGCGACGACACAGCCGCCGGAACGCTAGACAGACCCAGTTCCCATGGGCAAACAAGTAAGAACCCTAAGTGCAAGCCATGTTTGGGGAGGAAACCTTCGGAGCTCCGCGCGGATCTCTCGCATCGGCGATAGGGAGGGGGGATCCAGCGCCGATCCGAGAAACTCGCGCGCAGTTCCGAGAGTTTGCGCTTATATCTTGTTCTCTTCTCCTGAGGCCGTGCCCCTGTGCGTCGGTGGCGCGCTGAACCCGGACTGGCCCCCGAGGCTGGTGTGGGACCTGGTGGTCGCGACTGGGTCCCGAAGACGTCCCCACAGCCGTGCCCCCGCGGTGCGGGTGCCGAGGCGCGATGCCCACAGCTCCCGTCGGCGTGAGCACAGCAAGTCACGACGGGAAGGTTTTCGCCCGTCCTCGGCGTGTTGGGGCCCTCACCGGGCCCCTCCTCCTCCTCCTCCTCCTCCTCCTCCCTCCTCCTCCTCCTCCTCCTCCTCCTCTCCTCCCCCTCCTCCTCCTCCTCCTCCTCCTCCTCTTCCTCCTCCTCCTCCTCCTCCTCCTCCTCCTCCAGAGCAAGAGGAAGCAACTGGGGATGAAATACCAGTCCCAGCAAGGGATCGAGACCACTGGGATCCCACGTCGCGAACAGAACCGCTGCGTCGGAGGTCGTGGTCCGTTGTGCACGTTCAGCGCAGGGCCCGCAAGCGTCGCCAGAAGGATTTGAAAGTCGAGCTCGTTTTGGAAGCCGTCTTGAAGCCGTCTTGAGGCTCGACAAGGGTGGATGCCGCAGCCGGCCGGCGGACTGGCGGAGGCTTCTGGGGCGGAGATGGGTGGAAGGCGGGGGCGAAAGCCTTGTAAGGCGCTCTCACGGTGAAATCGCACACGCCCCATATCTCGGTGGGCGGGCGGATTCAGGAGGCTTCCGCCATTCCGCCGACTGAGAGGCCTTCCAGGGCCTCTTGGGCACCTCCTGGAGGTCGCTTTTTGGGGCCTCTTGGGGGCCTCTTCGGGCCTCTTACGCGGGTCAGCCCGCGCAGAGTCGCCCAGCGTCCGTCGGGGCCGCTGCTGGAGCCCAGAACGCGAGGCCGCGGGGTACGGGCAGGTTCGCGTCGTGCCGACTTGGCGGCGACCCCGCCGCTGGCGTCCAGCGTTGAGCGCCGTCTGCGACCCAGAACTGGTCGATGTTGAACAATCTTCGGAGGCGACGAGAGGGCGAATAGCCCACGGGTGGGCATGACACGTATCTATCTGGGAGCCTCGCCGAGGACATGAACCATCGGCGTCCCTTGATACATGAACTGCTCTCCCCTGGGCTATTCGCCCCTACTGTCGCCTCCGAGATCTGACGTTTCGGAAACGGCCGATCGTTCAAGGTGGAGCGACTCCCGTGGTGTCAGAGACCAACGCCGAGGTCGACACGACGCGAACTTGCCGCGTGGATATCGCGATCTCTTCACGCCCGCGAGGTCGTGCTCCTGGTCATGTGCGACAGCGTGGTCATCCCCTTCCAGCTGGCCGAGTTCGGCACACAGCCCGCGTTCGACGACTGCTGGCTCAGGCTGACGGTCGGCATCTTCGTGTGCGATCTGGTGATGAATTTCTTCACCGGCTACTACGCGGGCAAGGGGGACGAGCTCCGGCAGGATTGGGGCCGTCTGGGAGTCTGAGGGGTAGTCCAGCTCTGGTTTCTGCCAGCAGGATGGGCGGGCAGGTTCGAGGTCTTGGGTTCGGGCTGTTTTCGGCTTCTGGAACAGTGAAAAGAATGGATCTGGGGTGAACAACTGCACCCAATAGAGGGGTCCGTGGACCGTTCTTGAGCGGGTTTGGCTTCATCCACCCCCTCCTGACCGATTGTGTATGAGGTACGAGGTCAAACCAGTTCAGACCCCCTGGCCGCCTCCAACGGCAGGAGGGGACCCTTGTCACCGACACGGTCAGCATCGCGGTCCACTACCTCCGCGGGTGGTTCTGGATCGACTTCCTAAGCACCGTGCCGTGGGCCGTCATCGTGGACGCCCTCTGGTCGAGCGGCGGGGCGGACGCGTCCTCGGCGGGCCAGGTGACGAAGCTCGCGAAGGCTATCAAGCTGACGCGGCTCCTGAGGCTGGTGAGGATGCTGCGCCTCTGCAAGCTGTCGGCCGTCTGGGACCGCCTCGAGCGCCAGATCGGGTCCATCACCGCCCTGAACGTGGTGAGCATGCTGAAGGTCCTCGGTGTCTGGACGGTCATCTGCCACTGGGGCGCCTGCGTCTGGTGGATGGTCGGCAAAAGGGGCAGCCTGGTGATGCTCCTCACGATGCAGGACGACGACCCCAGGGAGATCCACTGGACAGAGCTGCCGCGCATGCACAGCGCGCAGGACGACTTCGGGCAGTGGACGTGGGTGGAGAGGCCCGCGTCGGAGCAGTACGTGTTCTGCTTCTACTGGATCCTCGGGGTGATGCGCACCATGCCCGCCGAGGTCACGCCCGTCAACCTGAAGGAGCGGATCTTCGTCCTCCTCTTCATGTTCTTCGCGGTCATGGCCTTCGCCGTCAACGTCAGCCGCATCACGCAGGCCTGGTTCAGGTTCGGCGCGCGCAAGGACGCGTTCCGGGAGGAGATGGCGTGCGTCCGCATGTACCTGAGAGCGATCAATTGCGGGAGCACGCTTCAGCTGCGCACGCAGGCGTACCTGAGCCACCTCTTCGAGAAGCGGCGGCTCCACGCCAAGGAGCTGGGCCTGCTGAGCACCCTGCCCGAGGGGCTGCAGCGGAAGCTGAGCCAGGCCCACAGGATCCACTACCTCAGGATGATCCCTCGGCTCGACGACTGGATCGACTCGGCCCTGGGGCACGTCTGTGACGCCACCGAGGCGCTGGACTTCCTGCCCGGGGACAGGCTCACGCAGAAAGGCCACGACGCCGAGGCCGCGTTCGTGCTCATGAAGGGCGGCCTGCAGGTCTGCGTCGGATACCAAGCCATGGAAGCTTCCGTTCGTCTTCAATTGGGTGTGTGGCGCCCAATAGCGTTCACATAGCGCTCAGTAGCGCCCAACAGCGCCATGCGAGGGAGATGCATTATGCCCGCTTTGCGCGCGGTTGGGCTCGCTACTGGGCGCTATGTGGACGGCCAACAGCTTCGTAAATTGTTGTCTCAGGTCTACGAGCCGTCGCCCTTGGAGCCTGGCCGCCAGAGCGACGAGAGCCCCACAGTGAGGATTTCGATGCTCCGGCGGCGTCTGTCGGAGCTGAGCTGCCGGCCCGTGACGGTCGCCGAGGGAGGGGGACACGTCCGTAATATCCACGCTTTTGCGTCGGCGGCGAGCCTGGGCGGGACGTGAGGAGAAGGGGGCGGGCCTTCTCAGAAGGCTCGGAAGGCCCGACGCCCTCTGGCCTTCCGACGCCCTTTGGCCCGAATACGTGGAACATTTTTCAAAAGCCCTGCCGCCTTCTGAGAAGGTCTGCTCCTCTCTTCCCCCCCCCGTGCGCGCCGCCGCCAGTTGCGGTCCCGGGCTCCTCAGCCGCGACCCCACGGATATTGGGCGGCTTTTCACGGATGCCCCGCGCGTGACGCACCCGTGCGACCGCGCATTAGTGGGATCTTGCCTCGGAGTCCATCCCGCGACCGCGAGGGCACGCTGTTGGAGCCATCTGGGTGTTGAAGTGGCCCAGCACTGGCTTGGCCAGGCAGATAGGAGATTTTTGGGTTCGGGCAGGCGCTTTTCGGATTTGGTTTCATCCCCCCCTTTTGACCGATTGCATGAGGTCCAAAACAGTTCAGACCCCCCAGTCGCCTCTAACCTCAGTCGCGACCCCATACGGGGCGGCTTTTCGTGGATGCCCCGCGCGGGACATGCCCGCGTGATTGTGCGTTCACGGGGTCGCGCCTCGGGGTCCAGACCGCGAGGGCCTGGATGTGGATGCGTTCTTCGCTTGTGAGGTCGTGAAGTTGCCCCCTCTTGGCCTTGACGTGAGGCCCCGCCTTCTTTTTATCTTCCTCTGTTAATTAAAGCTGTGCGCGGCCCGCTTAGCTTCGACTGGAAGAGGTTCGTTCTCGACCCGCGGATCAAAACAATTGTGAGGTCGTGGACGAGCACTGCCTCTTCGATCCAGGGGAGGCTGCGCCGAGCCAGGACACGGTGGTGGTGCTGGAGTGCTCCGAGGTGCTGCGGGTCGACCGGAGGAGGTTCCAGGAGGTGCTGCGGGCCCTGCACGCACGGCACGGCCAGGCCTCGGAGGCCCAGCCCGCGGCGGGCCTGGACACCGAAGCGCAACAGACGGCGCAACCGTAGATCTTCGGAGGTCCGCGCGGACTTCTCGGATCGGCGCTGGGCCCCCCTCCCCTGGCGCGCTCCGCGCGCCAGGGGCGGAGGCGCCGCCAGGGGGGTCCCGCGCCGAGCCAAAGATCCAAGAATCCGCCCGGCCCTCCGAAAGTTTATGTCTGTGACCACCTGTTCCTCCAGGACAGCCTGGGCGATACCGAGACCTGGGGCGCGCTCCATACGAATCAGTCGGGCGCCAGCTCCGGCTACCTCTCCCAGGGGAGCTCCGCGCTGGCCTCGGACGGGCACAGGCTGGGCAGCGGGGGCGTCGCGAGGTCCGCCGCGGGATCCGCCGCGGGCGACTCCGTCGCCGAGGAGTTGAGAGGTGGACCGGGCGGCGAGAACTACAGTGGTAGACGCTGACATTGGAGCCGGCTGGGGGTCTGAGGTGGCCCAGCGCTGCTTCCAGCCAGCAGGGAGGGGATGCATGATCGAGGTTCTGGGCTCGGGAAGGTTTTTCTTGTTTTTGTTCGCCTCCGGGAGTTGTTTTCGGCGCCCCAGGCTCTCAAGATTGTTTCTGGGGTGGAAAACTGCCACAGATGGACCCCCAGAGGCCGATTTTGAGCAGACTTGGCATCATCGGCCCCCTCCTGAAGGACTTCTTCGGTCCCCCCGGCCGTCTCTCATCGTCACCCGCAATGACACCCCCAGCCGACCACCACCGTGTGGCAGACTTGCGGAAAGGGTGCCGTGATCGGGGGGTGGGAGTTTGAGGAGCGGCCCACGCTCGAGCGCCAGCCGCGGAGGCCGCCGAAGTCCCACCCACGCCCGGTCCCGGCACACCGCCTGTCAGGGATTGCCACGGGTGCCGCCGTCGGGGTTGCGGGTGACGTTTTTCGGCGGCGAGCGAGGGGGAGCGGCGGGGCTTCTCAGAAGCCTTCCGGTCTAACCCGGGAAAATCTACGAAGAACCCCGTCCCTGTTCTGGTGAAGCGACAGTCACCCTGGCACTTGGCCGTTGTTGAGCACTCGTCGGACCCCCCCGGCAACCCTCGAAAGTGGCGACGGTTTCGCAGTTCGGAGCCCCCAGGGATTTTTCCACAGCTTGCTCATGCAGGCTCCAGCACGATTTCAGTGATTTCAGTGCCACATGCATAAGCATGTATGTTCTTGAACGGTTTGAACTGAATTACTTGAGCGTAGCATCGGTGAATCTGCCTCTCACTCTGCTCTCCTCTCTCTCCCTCTCTCTCTCTCTACAGCCTGTCTTCGGCTAAAGAGGGGCGGCCGCGCGCGTGGCACATGGTGCTCGGCCCTGGCGTGCCCGCGTCGCTGCCGGCCTTGCTGGTGGCGTCCTGTGGGCGGTCCCTGGGGTCGGGGCCGCGGCCGCCGCCGCCGGCCCCCGACTGGGCGGTGGGGCTGCAGGAAGCCTGCGAGGAGGCTGCAGGGGCGGCCCGCCAGGCCGAGGCGGCGGCCGTGGGCGCCGCGGCGGCCCCGCCGCCGTCGCCACCACCGCCGCCCCCGCCGCCGGCGGCCTGCCCAGAGCCCGAGGTCCTTCGGACAGAGCGAGGCGCTGCTGATCCACCTGCTCCCTGCGCTGATCGGCCCGACGTGGACTTTCGTGACGTCCCGTTGCGCTGGCTGCTGCGGTCGTCGCCCCCCCGAGGCCAGCCATGGTGCTGGGTCGCGCACATCGGGTGGCCCAGCCCCCATTCCCCGCGGAGGAGTCGTGGTGCGCTGACACCCCGATCGGGGCGCGCTGCCGAGTGCGCTTCGATAGCGAGCACCCGGACCAGAAGAGGATCGTGATCTGGCATTTCCGTCGGGGGAACGGCGGCGTGAAACAGGACCTGCATGTGTACTGGGTTTGGTCACGCGACGGGGACCTGTGGGAGGTGCTGCTGTCGCGGGGCTCGCCGAGCGACGGGCCCTTGGACGGCGGCCGGTTGCCAGTGTGCGACGCCGCGCCGGGCGATGGCCGCCAGCTCCGAGAGAGGCCGTGGCCCGCCGACCTGAAGATGATGGCCGCCGAGCGGCGCGACCTGGCCAAGGCGCGCGGACAGGCGGCTGCCGACTGGCCCGCGTGCGGGGAGTTGACCACGGAGACGCAGGCGCAGGCGCTGGCCTTGGAGGCCTTCAGCTGGGTGCCGGCCCAGGTGTCCTCGCCCGGCCGCCGCGAGCAGGGCCCGTCCGTGCCGGCCCCCAGGGAGGGCGCCGCTGTCGCCCGCGCCGACACCGCCTGAGGACGGCGACGCGCGGGCGATCGCGGAGCCGATCCCGTCGCGGGAGGTTGGGTCGATCGTCGAGCCAGGCCAGACGTTGCCAGGTGCAGGACGCGACGCAGTCTGGATCCAATGTGACCGAGCTCTCCGCGTCGAGCTGATGGCCGAGAGCGGGGTGGCCGAGTGGAAGGCGCTCCCGCTGGAGGGCGGCCGTCCCGTTGCGAGCGAGGGTCGTCCTGGCGCTGGCGCTGGGGGCCCAGGGCGCGCGGCGGCGGCGGTTCTTGCGCCCGCCCAGGTCGCCCTCGAGGATTCGACGGCCGAGGGCGCTCGCGCGCGTTGGGCTGAGTGGGGCGACCAGGGCGGTCACTGCGCAGAGTTCCGCCAGGCAGTGAGTGAGTCGGTGCAGAGTCACCAAGGGTTCGAGCGTCAAGTACCTGGCGCCCTTCGCTGGGGCGGGCGAGCTGCCGGCACTCTCGGCGCGCGGCGCGCCGAGGAAGCCCGGGGCGTCGAGAAGTCGATGAAGGGCGCGGAGGCGGTCGACGAGCGCGCGGTCACCGCTGCCGCTGGGGCCGACGCGGGCGAAGGCGCAGGCGCAGCAGGGGCCGGCTGCGGTGGGGGCCGAGGGCGCGGGCGCGGCAGTGGCCGCGGCAGAGGCCCCGGTCTCCCACCGCAGGCCCAGTCATGACCGAGACGGCTTCGCCATGGAAATGCCCCCCCCACTGGAACGAGGCATGGCCCGGGCTGCTCCGCTGCCGCCGGGTCCGATTTTTAGGGGCGCTCTCGCTGGCCTCTGTTGGCGAGAACGTTCGCGGGGAGAGGTCTCAGTGCAGGATGCATTGGCGGCGGCGCGCAGTCGATGGGTGAACCGTATTCTCCCCCGCCTGAACTGGATGGCGGGCATCGCGGGCGCGGGCAGGTCGCCGAGCCCAGGCGCGGCGACGCTGGACAAGCACGCAGCCCCCTCAGCAGACTCTGCTCCGCGAAACTCTCCGGCGCCTGGCGGCGCCGACGGCGGAGGCAGCCCTGCGGGGGCCGTTCTCGGGGGCCGCTCTGGGGGCAGTCCGTGTGCGAGACGGACGCGGACCCGAGGGGCCTCGTCTCCTACCGAGCCGGCCAGGTCTCGCCCCCCCGGCGGCGCGCGCCGCTGCCGCTGCATCGAGGGCGCCGCGAGTGCCGAGGGTCGTTCTTTTCTGGGGGAGAAAGCGTGTGAGGCTGGGGCCGAAGGCAGTTGATTTCGACGTCATGCCGCGGTTGTGCATGGACCGCGCGCCGAAGAGGAACCCGAAGTCCCGCCGCTCGCTCGCCCGCGAGCTGGCGGGGAGAGGGCCCCTTGGAGCGACGGCCCGGCCCGCCGAGTGAGCGGGCATTTCCTTCGAGGCCAAGTCGAGCGGCGCGCCGAGGATGATAGCGGGCGCCCAGCGAAGCAGCGCGAATTGATGGGCGCAGCCAGGGGCGGGGCTGTTGAGCGGCGAAGGCCTCGGGCGGCTTGAGGTCGAGCGGCGAGCCGCCTGGGCCGCGCCGGCCTCTGCCGCGGGCCAGCGGCCGCCGAGCGCCTTCGCCGCGCGCGCGGCGACCGCCGACGCGAAGGGTTGCTTCTACCGCGCGAGGGCGCGCGAGGAGCTGCGGCGTTTCTCCTGCCTGCCCTGCGCCCCCGCCCGCGTCTTCAGCGGCCTGGAGGTGCCGGGTCTCCCGGGCGGGGTGGGGCCGACTTCCGAGGTGTTGCCCTGCGCGGCGGCGCCGCCGACGGGGCTCGCCCGGTCGCTCCGCCTGGCCCGGCAGGCCGCGAACGAGGAGGGGGCGCGCCGGAGCCTGGCCCGGCAGCGCGCCTCGCCGCCCGATCGAGGCCGGTGCCTGATCCAGAACCTGGCCGACGCTTTCGCCGCGGAGGCGGCCGCGAGCGGGGTCGCCGGGGCGCGCGCGCGTCGACGCCCCCCAAGGTGGGGGCCGCGTCCGATGAGCGCGCCCTCGGCGAGCGGATGGCGTCGGAGCGGGGTGGCCTCGTCGAGCTTGCGGGCCGCGCCCTGCGCGAGATGGGGGCGCGTGCCGGGATTGGCGAGGCGCTCGGTGCAGGACTAAGCGGGGCGAGCTTTCGGTCGGGCATCGCGCCCAGCCTTTCTTGGAAGCTCGAGCGCGGCCTCTCCTGGCTGCTGGCCCGTCGACCGCGCCGCGGGGGGACCCTTGGAAAAGCGATTGGGCATTGCACTTTCTGCGGTCTGGCGGCGAGAGAGGGCCCGGCTATTTGCCGCGCACTATGTATCTTCATCTCTACCCAGCACTTCGATGTGCCCCCTCTTTGGCCCGAGGTCGCTCTGGGGCGTGAGGCCATTCGGGGGGCTTTGCTCTTGTTGGGCCGAGACTGGCGGCACCCCTGGAACCTTTGCGCCCTGGGAACCGACGCCGGTCGGGCCAGCGCTTGGGGCTTCTGGGAGCTCGCCGAAGTCGCCAGTGTGGGTTGCGTCGGTGTGCTTCCGACGCGTCGGTCTTCATTCTGCCCGCGCCTCGGCCTCGACCTCCGCCCGCCTCTTCCGGGGCGGCGCCGGAATCTGGGGCGGCCGCCCGCTTGGGCAGGATCGCCGGAGGTCGACCCTTCCAGACCGCCCCGAGGGAGGTCTCGATGGCGACTGGGAGGTCGCGGCGGATTTCCCCGAGGCCCCTGGCCTGGCCGCTTCTCCGAAGGTCCGCCTGGAAGACTGCCCGGAAAGTGGGCGCGGGCTCTGGGGGGAGGTATTTTGATTTTGGAGGCATGGCTTCTCGTGAATGGCTGTTGCACCAGGTAATTTTCATTGTCTGATAATATACATGCCACGGTTCTCGCGTTCTCTCGGCCCCCGGAGCCGCGATTTATGTGCCTGGTGCAGGTGCGGAGATTTAATGCCTACCCTCGCTGTCTCGGGATCGCCTCTGGCTTTGCTGTGTTCCGTCGGAGTTTATCCGGGGCGATGCCCGGGGTCGAGATCGCTCCGACGTTTATAAGTTTCATGCCGATGTCTTGGATCAGCGGCGTGGCTTGAGCCAGCCCTCCTTCGCGGGGCTGGGGCGTGCTCCGCGACCCCGTTCGCCGGGGCCTGCTCGACAGTCGCGTCGCTCGTGCCATCGGGCGGGGCGGCTGGCGCAAGCGAGTCGCGGCTGCCTCGCCGGCCCCCTCGCGCCAAACCTTTGCGATT